CTACTCATGCTGAAGTGGCTCTAGCTTCTTAGTGCTGTGCTTTAACCCACTGCGCCACCAGGGAGGGCCCTGGAATTTGTTTTTAAGGTTTATTTATGCAAAAAAGACCTAAGGTACATGCCAGAGATGAGGATTCAGCGACAGAATGGGGAGCAGAGCAGGCAGATTGACTGAAATCCACTGTGAGGGGGAGCCATGAGCGAGACAGGAGAGTCTGCTGTGCCATGTGGGTCACCTCCCTGACCAGGGATTGAACTCATACTGCTGCTGACAGCTTCATATGCTGAGACTCAACCCTTTGTGCCACCAAGGAGGCCCCTTCTCTGGAATTTCTATTATCTTCAGCTCTACAAGTTCCTCTCTGCATCTGGTTTTCCCACATTTACACGTATCTCTGATTTCCTCTCACCTCCACAGAGCACAGAATGTCAAAAAAGTTTGAGTTACAATCACAAAAAGAAAAGAAGAAAATAAATGACTCCTACATTTTGATGTTTGAGAGCTTCAATCGAGAGAAGGAGGTAACTCAGCCCAAAACGTATCAGTGGGGGGAAATGCAGTCCAGCGAGACATCCAGTTCTCAGATGTGTCTCTGAAATTAAGCTTTTTTTGACTCTGAAGTCAAGCTTTTTGTCTTTGGAGGTTTAATTCTCCTTTCTCAGCTATCCTAGAAATATATGCAAGTTGGCTGACAGTCTCCCCTTTATATGAACCATCTTACCCCAGTTACTGAAATTAGCAAAAAATAGTTCCTCAAATATTTAAGAACCTGATATTCCCTATTTTGTCAAACCCTTAGTTTCTGAGTGTTCCCTCATTTTTAAAGAGTGTTGTTATAAACTAAACAAAGCCAATCTGATCACACAGAGCACTTAGGAAATAAGAGTAGTTGTCTAACGGTGGAGACAGGTGAGGGCTACTAGTGCTTCTGTTAATCACCCCACCCCCACCAAGTTATAAGGAAAGTGGGTCTCAGACCAAATTCTGCCAATTCTTATTTTTTAAGATTATTTTTACTCTTCTCTACCCTTCGCATTTTGATATAAATTGGAGGATTAGCTTCTAGAAAGACTGCCTATTTTGACTGGATACCACTGAATATAAAGATTAGTCTGTGGAGAATTGAATATTTGACAGTATTAAAACTGTACCCTAACAAGAACATCCTTTGATGAAATATCACTTCTTTTTAATATGTGTGAATGTGGTAAGATTAAACATAAAAGTTTCAACATGTCATATCATTCATTTATATGTGGGCTTAATTATAAGCATATGTGAACTTTGGTTTATATTATATTCTAAAGTCTTATTCTGACTTTAATTCTTTGAAAAAAGTGTCAGAAAGTACTGATCTTTTCCAAATAAAATTATTTTTAGATCCTACTCAAACGACATGAAGATGATGTCTTGCAACTAGAAGAGCTGAAAAAGACCAAAATGGTAAGCTTTTCATTTTCCCAGTGGAATAATCTGGAAAATGTACCAGCAAAGTGATATTTTCTCCAAAAAAAAGGGAATCTATGATAATTTTCTCCAAACCGATAAAAATGAGAGACCTAAAACTGAGCTTGTTGGAGACAACCAATCAGATTTAGAAGTGGAAAACAAAGCCATTGGTACCTTTTTAGAGCCAGATTTGAACAAATATATGAGCAATATACTGTGTGATCTTTGATGTCAATGTCTTCCATTCTACTAAGGCTGAGACCTCAAAGGGGGCTTGAATTATAAAATGTCAGATTCTTCCCTTTAAGCTCTAGAAAGCATAATACTGCCCTGGGACCTCTGACTCCAAGTCCTGCCTTAAAACTCTAAGCACATTTCTCTCTCTCAGCTTCCTCCAAGAAATCTGTTCTTCTGGGACGAATTAATGGATCTTCCATATGGGAGACACCTGAAGGGAAAGAGTTCGAGTGCATAAGTGCTTGTGGTTCTTCTTACACTGATCATTTGATTTGGACATGTTTGGGGAAAGACTAACCGTAACGAAGGCATGGAGTGATAGCTTAGATCTCAGGCAGGTCTTCAGCATTGCTTGTCTGCCAATCCTCTCATTTGTATCATTCCCAGATCTGCTTCTATGAACTGATTTTTCTGCTCACTCATAATGCTATTGTCTTGATTATTTGCCTGCGGAGTGACTTCTTTATTGGGTACCTCATTGTGTAGTTTGTTGAGTGTGCTGAAATATTGTTGAGATTTACTCCGGAATGCAGATATGTTTCTTGGAAACTGAACTTTTCAAGTCTTGCTTTTTAATTTTGTTGGGTCAACGTCAAAGGGTCTTTAAGGCTAATTTTCCCCTAATACTAATATCCCTTTCTGGGTTTTCTACCCGATACTCTGTATTTGAAGGGTTTTTCTACTCTGGTTGGTGAGAAAATGAACTATTCACAGTCCTGGGCTGTCCCACTGCTTCACAGCCATGGTCCTCCCCACACCTTCTCTCCTTCTCTCCCCACCATCACCCCACTCCTGGGGCACTAGAGTCCTTGCTCTTTTTCAGGCCAGAATGCTTTCTGTTTGGGTCTTTCAATTTGGTATTCTCTCTTCCTGGACAGTTTTTTTTTTTTTTTTTTAAAATTTTTTTTTATTTATTCATACAGAACTGGGGTACAGGCCAGAGGCTCAGGGACGGTGAGAGGCTTCACCAGAGACAGAGTGGGGAGCAGCACAGGCAGATCGACGAGGTACACTGCTGAGGGGAGCAGCGGGCGGGTCAGGAGAGGTCTGGCTCGCCATGTGGTCTCCTCCGGGGCAGGCGGCAGGCGGGAATCGAACTCATGCGGAAGTGGCTTCAGATTCTCAGTGCTGTGCTCTAACCCGCTGCACCACCAGGGAGGGCCGACAGTTTTTTTTTTTAAGACTTATTTATTTATGCATACAGAACTGGAGTATAGGCCAGAGGTGTGGTGGGTGAGAGCATTCACTAGGGACAGAGTGGGGAGCAGAACAGACAGACTGATGAAGTACACTGCTGAGGGGAGCAGTAAGCAGGACAGGAGGGGTCTGCTGTGGGTCACCTCCCTGGATGGGGATCGAACTCCTGCTGAAGCAACTGTGGCTCCCTTGCAATGCTGTGCTTTAACCCACTGTGCCACCAGGGAGGGCTCCTGGACATTTTTTTTTGCCCCCCCCCCATACCCAAGTGGCTAATTTCCTTATCACTTCCCTGTCTTTACTCAAATGCCACCTCGCAGAGGCCACTCTGAGGACTCAACCACCTACCATAATACTTCCTTTGTCCGATTTTATTTTTCTCCACAAACTTGTAATCATCCACCCTGAAAAACTCATTGAAGACTGGGGTTTCTGACTGTTTTCTTTCCTGCTAATTCCCAGTTTCTAGACTGGTGTCTGATCGTCTGAATGAGTAAATGTGAATACATGAACGAAGGAATGCAAAATGACCCGGTACAATATTCTGCACACCACTGTTGCCTTGTGTCAGCATGTCTCCCGTCTACATTTCTGAAGTGATGAAAGTGTTGAAGGATGGGATTGAAAGCAGAGACCCATCTGGATTTTTTTTTTTTTTTTTTTTAAGATTTATTTATTTCCTCATACAGAACTGTGGTACAGGCCAGAGATGTGGAGGGTGAGAGGATTCACCAGAGATAGAGTGGGGAGCAGAACAGACAGACTGATGAAGTACACTGCTGAGGGGAGCAGGGGCAGGTCAGGAGAGGTCTGCCATGCCATGTGGGTCACCTCCGGGGCAGGTGGGACTCGAACTCATGCGGAAGTGGCTTTAGCATCTCGGTGCTGTGCTTTAACCCACTGCACCACCAGGGAGGGCCCTGGATCCATTTTTTAATGGCAAAAATAAATAAATTTATATTTAGAATTAGCCAGCAGGAATCTATTACGATGATCCCAGCTTTGCTGACAGCATCCAGAGCATCCTAGTCAAGGGCCAGAGGAACGTCTGCCTTCTGCGCTCCACCAGCTCCGGGCAGGCTGTTGACCTTGGCCTACCATCCTGCTTGGTCCGGTGCTTGTTGGCCTTGACACCCACAGTCACATATTGCACTGCTGTCTGCTATCATGGTGACTGACCCAGTGGTCAGTGAAACTTGAGGGCACAGTGGTGACCCTTGTTTCTTGGGGGTCACTTTCCAAGGATATTTGAGTTGCCTTCAGAGCTGTATCATTTTGGAAAGCCAGAAGGGGTGAGGTACACATCTTTTTGTTGTTGTCATTGTGGCTCTAGACACCTTTCAGCACTGCTTTCCCGCCTCCAATTTGACTTGGAGTGGTGGGGGCTTCCTTCTTTACTTATGTGCCCTCTTCTCGTTCACTTTTACTACATTTTGTCACATTTACCCCTCCTGGTACTTATACTGCCTCCTATAGATAGATTTGGAACATACAGCGTGTTTTCAATTTATTGTAACTGACTTGCTTTCCATTTTAATTGTCATTGTGTTACTTATTTTTCATCCTTTTACATCTTCCTCACAAGACTATATCCCCCATAAGAGTAGGAATTATATCCCTCTTGTTTGTCATATTCTTGGTGTCTAGTACAGTAGTGACTTTTTTTTCTAATTAATAGATGATTTTAGAGCATTGTTAGGTTTATGGAAAAAAACTCAGATAATACAGATACTGCAGAAACCCTCTCCCCTAATGCACAGGAAATTTCTTCATGATTAACATCTTGCTGTAGCATGGTATATTTGTTACAATTGATAAGCAAATACTGATAAATTATTTTTTACTAATACCAGTAGTTTACAGAATGTTGTACATTCTGTGGGTTTTATGAAATCATCATGCTATGTGCCTACCATAGTAGTATGAAACAGAGTTTTACTCTCCTAAAAACCTTGTCTTCCACCTACTCGTCCCTTGCTCCCCTTCCAACTGACAGCAATCAATGCTCTCTTTATTGTCACTGTAGTTTTGCTGTCTTTTTAGAATGTCATATAACTGGAATGTGTATTAGATAGTTAATAAACAGTTAATGAGTGAATGATTGGAAGCCACTGGGCTGCCCACATGCGTTCGCATGAGGCCATCTGGGACAGTAACAGTGAAGCTGCATTGAAGGAGAGTGGATATGGAGGAGAGTGAGGAGGTGGAATCGGTAGCTGAAGTTGATGCTTCACATTCTAGTCCAGCTGCCTTGAAGAATATAGCACATGGACATCATCATGACTTCTCAAAATATTTTTTCGTACTCAGATCATGGAGGAAGAGTTGCACACACAATCTGTTATCCTAGAATCGCTGAATGCCACACTGTACCACACCCAGATGGAACTCCAGAAAGAGGTGAGTCTTGGCTGGAAAGAGGGTGGAAATGGGGAGAGGATCTCAGGTCTCTGTGTAGCTCGGATGACACGGTTTGGGAAAGATGGTATTACAATTGACTTGTCTTTCAGAAAACTATGGTGGGCAATCTGGAGAAAACTTTCCAGGCCAAGCTTGCTGAAAATGAAGAAAAGTTTAGATGCACCATCCATCTCCTAACAGAAGAAAACATTTGTCTAAGGTGTGGATGCTGCTGCTCATAAAGTGTGGCTGGGCTGTCTTTAAGAAGTGGGAAGGACCTGGGGTGAATGAGGAATAGGTGAAGAAAGATCCAAGGTTTTTTTTAAAAAAAAAAAAAAGATTTATTTTTATATGCATACAGAACTGGGGTACAGGCCAGAGGTGCAGGGATGACGAGAGGATTCACCAGAGACAGAGTGGGGAGAAATAACAGGCAGACCCATGAACTGAGGGGAGCAGCGGGCGGGTCAGGAGAGGTCTGCCGTGCCATGTGGATCACCTCAGAGATCAAACTCATACGGAAGTGGATGTGGCTGGCTTGCAGTGCTGCATCCTAACCCCTTGTGCTAGCAGGGAAGGCCCTGATCCAATGTTTTCTAATAAAGCACAGGCAGTTTCAGGGGAGAGGTATCCATTCTGAGCCTGGTCACAGAAGTTACCTACAAAGGTCCAACAATCCTCCCTTACCTACCTCTAAGCTTTTATACATTTAGCTGAGATTCTCTCGGTTTACTTAGTTCTGTGACAGGGTTATTTTAAAATCCATCTTTCCTGAGAAGTTAGTGGTTTAAATATCAGTGGCTTATCTTTAGATGCAATTGCCTTTAGTTCCTGGGGAAATCAACTTGAGGTCAGCAATTATACTGTTACCTAAAGATGCATCTTAAAACACTGCAATACAATTTAGCCAATTCTTTAATAAAGTGAAGTTCATTGTGTTGGTTTAGTAGGAAAATCCTCGTATGGACTTTTGTCATCTCTCAATAGCATTGTTTAAAAATACTGTGAGTAATGAGTAGTGACTTCCCTGATGAAGGAATAGAATTTTTCTTTTCCCTTGATTTCTTTTACACCCTTTTTTACTCTTGGAGTCCGTAGTAACCTATCTTCTTTTATATAGAAAAAAGATAAATGTCAAGAATGAAGAAAGTTACGAAGAACAATGTGGTAAATCAACCTCTGTTATTATGAATGAGACTAACGGAGACTCTCTAAATGATGACAGCAACAAAAGACAAGACCTGTGAGCAGAGAAGTTGCTCTCTGTAGTAGGTGGAGGGGAGCCCCATCTCTGTGAGCCCAGAGAATACCTGTGAAGTTACCTTAGAAGTGTATATGACCCTACTGCTTGGGTTACCTCAATTCTACTTTTATCTTTCCACAATTTGCTTTAAGTAGTTAGGAATGTCCAATTCTCATCTCAGTTACAAAGATTTTCATGACTTCATTGAAAAGTGTCCTTTATTGACAAAAAGAAAAGTGGTCTTTATCTGGAGCTGAGCTTTCACTGAGCTTTGTGCTATTTCCTACCTTTATACATGTCATTATGAAGTCACTAATATGGAACACTCCCAATTAAATGTTGATTGCATTTTGGGGTGCAACTTTTGTCTCCCTGAACATTTAGGTAAAAAGATCACTTATTGACTTGATGCCAAAATGCTCTCTTACACATGTTCTTCCTCTCCTCCACCTCAGATACCTGCACCTCCCTCACCTATGAATTGGGAGGAAATTCTAATGATTCTTACCACCTCTTTAAACTATCACCAGAATTCAAATCTCCACAGAGCAGGTGATGTAAAAACATATAGTGGGCTGGACACAAGGGGAGAAAATAATGCAAGCAATGATAAATGGCAACTGAAGCAGCCTGGTTGGGGCTGTGGGGTTAGGAGTGGGGCCGGTGGGGAGAGGTCCGTGGTGAGCGCTGGGTGAATCAGTTCCTTGGCTGCAGTACAGGATCATGAGGTCGATGTGGTCCAATATTCTAATTCCTCAAAGAAGGTTCAGTTTTTATGTGACATCTTTAAATTTCTAAAAATTGGCAACCAAATTTTCGAAAATTCAACAGTGTAAGACAGCACTGGGAGGCTTACATAAAACATCTGTGGTCCAAACATTTTCTGCGTGTGAGACGCTATGGGGAATAATAAAAACAAACAAATGAAATACTCTCCAAGCAACAGTAAGACAAAATTATGTTTTTATTCTATGAAAAAAAATTCTTGAAAAAAACCAGCCTTGTACAAAACGTACAAAAGAAACACACCATTATTAGCAAAAAATAAAAAAAATATGCTTTATATAGATTTATATATTGAAGCATGTAGAAATTGTAAAAGAGAAAAGAGAAGAATCTAAAAAGGGAGTATGGAGATAGAATTTAAATAACTTATAAAATATTTTATATGTTTCAATATTTAACTTGGAAATTGCCAATTTTAGTTTCCAGGGCAACTCATAGATGAGTGTCAAGGATGGCTTAACAAGGGAAGGACTGAAAGTACAAAAATAATGTTAACCTCTAAATCATGTTATAGACCAGCGTTACCTCGATTTTTAAAACTTTAGAAAACAAACCAGAGTTATTATCTCAGTAAGTGGGCCTAATGGTGGACTTGTAAATAATAACAACCAGGAAAATCGCTTCTGGGTTTTTGAAATCTGATTCTAAACAGAGTCACAGGGTCTTTTGCTGCTGAAAAGCATGGTCTCCAGCCAAGAGAAGAGTCCCACCCGGTGTGTTTCTGAGGTTGCTTAGCGCACTTTACACCCTGAACCTCAACTTACTGAGGATTTTTCGGGGTCAGATCGCAAAAATCCCCATCAGTGCCCTTTCCAAAGGGGGACTGACTTTCCCTGCATACTACCTTTATTGCTCATTCTGGCCTATAAAATCATCCCATTAGCCAGAGCAGAGTTGCAGCAAATGTTCACAGAAACCCAGAGTGAGAGAGGATTCTGCCTGCTAGCGAGGAGAGGGGTTTGCAAGTTTTCTTCTCATTTACTGTTTCCCAGTATTTTGATAGCATTCATTTATTTTTGAAGCCTCAAGTAAGCGATTAGCTCCTCCTTTTCTTGAGCTTTATAAAATGCACCTCTAACCAAAATTCTGGAATGACATCCTTAATTTAAAAAAAAAAACAATTTGAATAAAATTAAATGACTCTGGGTGGGAAGCAGAGATAGGTGTGAAAAACATTTTCTGTCATTGTTTTTTAATCTTTCTGTTTCAATTTCTTTTAAACTAACTATACATTTTCCATTTATAAGTTTTCTTAAACATTTATAAGTTTTCTTAAACTTTGATACTGAATTAGAAATATACTTAAAACCATGACTATAGCTATAAACTTTAATTATATCCCAAAGGCAGAAATTTGGTCTTGAATTACATATAAATTCAGTTATATTAGCTCTGTGCTCTCCTTTTCTTGTCATGCAATATAAATATATATATATGTATATATAATGTATGTATGTATGTATATTAAAAAGAAAAAGAAAACTGGCTATCTCATTTTTTTTTTAAATTTATTTATTTATTCATACAGAACTGTGGTACAAGCCAGAGGTGCAGGGTGGGGTGGGGTGGTTAGAGTCTTCACCAGAGACAGAGTGGGGAGCAGAACAGGCAGATTAACAAAGTTCACTGCTGAGGGGAGCAACAGGTGAGACAGCAGAGGTCTGCTGTACCATGTGGGTCACCTCCGGGGCTGAGGGTTGAACTGGCACTGAAGCAGCTGTGGGCAGCTTGCAGTGCTGTGTCCTAACCCGTTGCACCACCAGGAAGGGCCCTAGCTGTCTCTTAAACAAATAAATTAAGTGTTAGACAACTAAACACTATGGTCAATTAAGAGGGAAGAAAAGCTTTTTCCTCAGGGTGAAAGTAGGCTGTGGCATCTGTTTCCCCCTATTTTTCTTGTCATCCTTATTGCTCACTTCGTAATTGACTTCGGTGAGGATGGTAAGAATATCTTCACCCCTGAAAAACAACATTATGATTGACTCCGGGAGGTAATCAGAGGTTAAGTACTTACATCTGCTGTGCTCAGTGGTTCCCTCAAAACATCAGGCATTTGATGCACGAGGTTGCTAAATAAAGACCAAACACAGTTTTTAAGGTAATAGAATTGTCTCACAGCATAATCATTTGTCTTTGGTTTACTCAGGATCTCTATCAGAAACCTCAGTGTCAGCAACAGGTTTGGTTTCTTTTCCCCTTGACCAGTGTAGCTCAATGTTTTATGTATTAAGTCACTTGCCCCTATAATCACCTCAGTTCCTCTCCCAACATCCTCTGCCTCAAAGTGGCATTGTTTCTGCGGTTTTACCTATGATGTCATCAAACTGGAGGCAAGTGAAAACCTAATGTCTCTGATGCAGCGGTTCTGTAACAGGGTGGACCCAGGAAAAAGGGAGATTCCAGGTTCCCTGCCCCACCCAGAAGGAGGGTGGGGCTGAGCAGAGAAGAGAAGGAATCTGGAGAGGAGACTGAGGAAGAAGGAAGCAGTAAGGAGAGCCAGTAGGTGACCTGAGGGAGGCATATGGAGCAGAGAGACATGTGAAGAAACTGTGTTTGCTTCTTGGTTGAAACAGATGTGGGTGAGAGACCTGTGGAGAGATTCACTATGGCCATGTTTATCTTGATTTTGATTTTGTTCTTTTCCTCCCAGACTTGTCTGGCCATGTCTGTCCCTTTTCTATGGGTCCCAACCAGAAGGTGCTTTAGGCTTGTGGCAGCTTTCAGGCCTGGCTTTGGGTCAATCCCTTTTGGGTAAACTTTTACCCATGAGGGGATGGGCAACTTGGGTGTCTGATTTAGAAACTGTATTCTTGGTCTTTCCTGTATTGCACACTTTGTATTAAAGTTCCTTTCCTTTCCACTGAAGGCCTTATGTCTTGAGTTTATAATGGAGAAAGGAAAGTGTTTTCAATAAATGGTATTGGGTAAGCTGGATAGCCACATGAAAAAGAATAAAATTAGACCTAATACCATTCACAAAAACTGAATTCAAAATGGATTGAAGACTTGCATCTAAGACTGGAAATTATAAAATACATAAAACATAGGCAAAGTACTTCTCAACATTGGCTTTACAGATGTGTTTTAAGACCTGACTCTATCAGCAAGGAAAATAAAAACAAAAGTAAGCAAATGGGACTACATCAAGCTTACAAGCTTCTGCACAGCCAAAGAAACAATCATCAAAGCAAAAACACACCCAACTGATTGGGAGGAGACATTTGCAAACCATACATCTGACAAGGGGTTAACATCCAAAATATATAAAGAACTATAAAACTCAAGTACAGGCCCTTCCCTTGGTGGCGCAAGGGGTAAAAGCATAGCACTATGAGGTTAGCTACAGGCACTGCAGTTTGATCCCTGGCCAAGGAGCTGACCCAAATGGTGCAGCAGACCTCTCCTGTCTCACCTGCTGCTCCCCTCAGCAGTGTGTTTGCAGTCAGTCTGCCTGTTCTGCTCCCCACTCTGTCTCTAGTGAATCCTCTCACCCACCCCCACACCTCTGGCCTGTATCCCACTTTTTGTATGCATAAATAAATAAAATCTTTTAAAAATATATAAATAAAAACTCAACAACAAAACATCCACCCAATTTTTTTTAAAAAGTGGTCCAAAAATCTGATTAAACACTTCTCCAAAGAAGACATACAGTTAACAGGAACCTGAAAAGGTGTGTTCATTGTCTCTATTATAAGGGAAATGCAAATCAAAACATGAAGAAATAGCACCTCACACCTCTAGGAATGGTTATGATCAAAAGACAAGAAACAAATGTTGGAGAGGATAAGGAGAAAAGGGAACCCTTGTACACTGTTGGTAGGAAAATAAATTGATGCAACCACTATGGAAAGCAGTATGCAGAGTCCTCAAAAAGTTAAAATAGATGTTCTAGTTATCCCCCTTCTGGGCATTTACCAAAAAAAAAAACAAAATCATTTGAAAAGATATATGCACCCCCATGGTCTTTGTGGCATTATTTATAATAGCCAAGAGTTGTAAATAAACTAAGTCAGATTGAGAAAAACAAATCCTGTATGATTTCACTCATTTGTGGGACATAAAAAAAAGTGAATGAAATATTAATATTAGACTATAAGCTCACATGGGGGAGGGGAGGGGAGAATGGGTTAATCAGATAAAAGAGATCAACTATATGACATAGAATAGAATTAGAGTTGAGTGGTAAATTTAATGTTAAATGTTATATATGCAGATGCATATCTGAAATTTATATAATGTTATAACGCAATATTACTTCAATAAGTAACAGTAAAAACAAAAAGTATAATGAGATATAGGATGAGGAGGAGCTTACAGAAAATGCCTTGCTTTTCATCTATCAGTGTGTGTTCCCTTGGGTGAACTCTAACAAATAAGGCCATCATTTAACTAAAGGAAGGACAAACTATAGTAAATGAGTAAAGAATATTTTGCCACATCTTCTGGCTCTGAATCAAGCCACACTGATGGCATAAAGGGTTTCTACTCATCAGCATTTACCTCCCATCATCCACTACGAAGATTTGAGGTGGGTTAGCTATTATAGAACTTTGGACAGAATTGGAGGATGTTAAATATTGAAATGGGTTATTACCTTCTTTGAAGATTTCCAGAACTAGTTGAGTTGGCTCAAGCATGTTTCTGCCTAAAGACAAACCTGGACTATATGACTTTACCTCATTCTCAACTCTGTAATATGATTTTTCTTTGAGACTAGATGAAGGAAACTGCTCAATAAATACCTGTTTTTCCCATCTATGACCTGGCCACATCTCCCACTCTGCAGCTGTCCTGAGAAGTACAGCTATGTGACCTTCCACTAGCCATTTAAAGGAGAGTGAAGGGTTAAGTAGACAACAATTACCTAGGACATCTTTCTCTCAGGCTCTGACAAAGTGACTGGATGTACCAGGTTCCCTCTGCAGGGCTTCGGTAAGAAACACAGTTGTTCACAGTGGCCATCCCCAGCAGAAAGTCAGCTTCATTGGGAATATATCCGGCCTGACGTGATGAATCCATTTCCAGATAGTCGTCATTCTGTTCAGAGTCAGTCTCAACAACTATACCTCTTTGGTAGTTATATCCTTGACAAGCCTGAATAAAAAAGATTTTGGGTTTGCCTGCAAGGGAAGGGCATTTGGACCCAGTGAAGTAAGAGGTCAGCTCACAGATGGCAGCTTCCTGCCCATCAGAACCATAGATGATGCCTTTGTCTCCATGGGAGAGGATGCAGCAAATGAAGCAGTCCTTGTCACTATGGTCCTTACACTGGTAGGTTCTCAGAGTTGTACAAAGTTGCTCTGCTGTGTAGTCATTGAATTGCTTTATCTTAAAATGAAGATCATGAAAGGTCTTCTTCAAAGCCTCTGAAAAGTGAAAATTAAAAAGCTACCTTACCAGTGATTTCCAGACCACAGCCAGAGCTACTGAGAACAGCAGGTTAATACAGATAAGAAGAGAATTTGAACCAGAACTTAAGAACAGGACCCCAATATATGAGTGGCTTTGTTACATAGGCTTCTAACATTACTGCCACAAGCTGAAAATATTCCCTAGTCCTGAGGCAAATGAGAAGGTGACAGGATTATTGCTGGCCCACTGTCTTTTCTCAAGTGGCCTGCAAGTTGGGTAAACGACTATTTAGACTTACTGGCAAATCAATCTAAAAATAAAAGACCATTTTATTACTTAACATAATCAGGAAAAAGCAAAAAAAATTTAGTAAAAGATCAGGATTAAAAGTTATCCTTGAAGCCTCTCTAAAATGTTTATATTTATTAAAATTTGTTATATGAATTTTTAAAAAATCAAATAGCTACCCCCTTCTTTACCACGCTCTGTTAACCAGTCATGTTCCATGAGCACAACTACTTTCAAATTTTAACCATATGTTTATATTAGCCCCATTCATTTTGTAACCAATCTGAATATGTTGCTGTTCATTCACTTATAAAATTTAGCCTTTCATATTGAGTTCCTCAATTGGAAGGTGAGATTTTGGTCCTCTTACACAATTATTTATGACTTTTAATTGAATCAATAGTAATATTTGTATTGTTAATAATAAATAAACATAAAATTCTTGAATATGCTTCCTTTCTATCAACTTTTTTCTTACCTGGAATTAGTGATTGCATTATTATTTCATTCACTTAGTTTTTATGTGCTTAATATTATTTTTTTCCCAAAATGATCTAGTAGATCTAGTCAACATTTTTAGCCTGTCTGATTAATTTTTTAAATATAATTGTTATTTTTAAGTTAGAGAATAGGATGACTTGAGGTAGACACATAATGAAGTGATTACTACAATCAAGATAATCACATCTCCTCATGGGTGGCACCTGTGAGATCTGAAATAGACACTTTCAGCATATTTCCGGAATTCGGTGCAGTTTGTTTTATTGTTTCTTTTTTTAAGGAAGAATTTCATTTACTTATTTACTTTTGCGTAGAAGAACTGGAGTGTAGGCCAGAGGTGAAAGACTGAACTCAAGCTTTAGCGATGAGAGCACTGAGACTTACCCCTCAGTCGTCAGAGAGGCCCCTACAGTATAATCACCAACCTGTGACTAGTGTTCTAGATTTAGTCACCCTGCATAAGTGCAACATTGAACCCTTTCACCAAAAGACCAGAAATCCAATCAAATATTATTTTAATTAAAATGTTTTAATAATAAACAAATGGAGATCAAAGGCCTGAAGCTTTTCTTCAGGACCAAAATGTGTGATAATCATGATGCTGTCATTTAAAAGGCTCTGTGGGGCCCTCTCTGGTGGCACAAGGGGTCAAAGCACAGCACTGTGAAGCTATCGCAGTGCGAGTTTAATCCCTGGCCAGGGAACAGACCCACATAGCATGGCAGACTTCTCCTGACCCATCCGCTGCACCCCGAATCAGTGTATTTTAGTCAATCTGCCTGTTCTGCTCCACAATCTGTCTCCAGTGAATCCTCTCACACCCTGCATCTCTGGTCTGTACCCCAGTTCTGTATTCATAAATAAATAAATAAATCTTTTTCAAAAAAGAATATTTATTTGATGAGTTAGTTCTACTCTTACTTTTTGATGTAGGAATATTTATGTATATATGCCTACATGTATTTATAAATATGCCTACATCAAAAAGTAAGAGTAGAACTAACTCATCAAATAAATATTCTTTTTTGAAAAAGATTTATTTATTTATTTATGAATACAGAAAGTAATCCTGCAAATTACTTTTTACTTAACTTGTAAGCACTTGGTCTTAACCTAGGTAGGTTGAGCAAAATAATTTCTGGCTAGTCTAACATTTGAAAATGCTGTTTCTGGGCCCTCCCTGGTGGCACGAGTTAAAACACAGCACTACGAAGCTATCCACAGTCACTCCCAGCCCCAGAGCTGACCCATACGGTGTAGCAAAGCTCTCCTGTCTTGCCGCAGCTCCCCTCAGCAGTGTGCTTCATCAACCTGCCTGTTCTGCTCCCCACTCTGTCTCTGGTGAAGCCTCTCGCCACCCCTGAGCCTCTGGCCTGTACCCCAGTTCTATGTGCATACATGAATTAATCTTTTTTTAAAATGCTATTTTTGTTATGAACTCACAATTTCTGCTCCCTTCATCTCCCAACTTTTGTAAAGTGCCCCTTCTTTATGTGTCTTGAAACTGAGGCTATGTTTCTGCAAATACCCAATGAATTCAACAGCAGCACTTTTCATTTAGTTAAATTAAAAATAAAGCTGATTGGGCCCTCCGTGGTGGTGCAGCGGGTTAAAGCACAGCAGTGAGAATCTAAAGCCACTTCCGCATGAGTTCGATTCCCGCCTGCCGCCTGCCCCGGAGGAGACCACATGGCGAGCCAGACCTCTCCTGACCCGCCCACTGCTCCCCTCAGCAGTGTACTTCCTCTATCTGCCTGTTCTGTACCCGGCTCTGACTCTGGTGAATCCTCTCACCCTCCGCATCTCTGGCCTGTACCCCAGTTCTGTGCGAATAAATGAATAAATCTTAAAAAATAATAATAAAATAAAGCTGATTTCTGCTTTCATTATAAGCCATTTAGTAAAAGTGGATATTTCACTTCCTACACGCATTGCTTTGATTTTAAAAATTCATTACAATTACTACAGAAAACTAGCAACTATGTAAAATGTTTACCTCCTCAGAGAAATCTAGTTAAATCCATTTTTTGAAACATATGGGCTTGCTGGTATAGCTTTTGCCTTGGCCTTTTTGATTGAGACACAGGTATCAAGAAGATTACACTTCTGTCTTTTGGGTTCTACTGTACCTGCATCCAAGTTTGTTCCACTCCTGTCCTTAATCTTACGAAGTTTGGGCACATTCTCGCGTGCTTTGCTGAAGTCATAATTGTTAAAGATCAAACAGTATCCCCGAGGCTTGCTTTCCATTCGGTAAATTCTGTCCGATGCCTGAAAAACAAAAATTCAACCCAGGAGCTAACCTGTGGGTCAGAAACTTGAGACGTGAACAAAGAACCCTAGTGAGAGGCAGAGGAGTCCCCACGCCTCGATGGATCCAAATGACTATTCAATGCTAAGAAAAAGATACTCCGAATTTCCACACACCTGCGTGTGAATGTCCAATTGTCCCAGAGAGTCGGACAGTGCCAGCATTCCAATGGACTCCAGTCCTGTGGGCAACTCGGATAAACCTGGAATGAGACATGACAGAGAAGTTACTTTGGTATAGAAGCAAGTAACAAGCAGAAGTTTAGAATATGTCACCCCAAAATAGGCTACTTTGTTTTTTGAATTAGAAGTACTTGAAAAGGGCCCCCTCGTGGTGCACTGGGTTAAAGCACAGCATTATGAAGCTAGCCCACTGCAGCATGAGTTCGATCCCCGGCTAGGGAGCTGACACACATGGCACAGCAGACCTCTCCTGTCTGGCCAGCTGCTCCCCTCAGCAGTGCATTTCAGTACATCTGCCTGTTCTGCTCCCCACTCTATCTCTGGTGAATCCTCTCATCCCCAACACTTCTGTACCCCAGTTCTTGTATGCATAAATAAATAAATCCTTAAAAAAAAAAAAGTACTAGCAAAACAACCAGTGCCATAAAAGACACATTGACCTTCTTCTGTTCCCCCAAAAGAGGAGATAAATCAGGTACCTCTTAAAAGGTACTCTCTCTCTTCCAGGCGGGTAGAAGTCATCTTTATTACCAGAGATGGGGAGTTAAGAGCTGAGACGTCTATATAAACAAACCTTGTTACTTTTCCTGTAATTCATTACACCAAGCCCAAACCCCTTTGGTCAATTCTGCTTAAATATGTTCCTTTGTGGACTAGGGGAGAAAATATTAATAATATAATGAACAACTATATACCAGAGACATTTTACGGGGATGGAAGGGGGAATGGGATCAAAAACAGTGAGGGGAGGGAAGTGCACTGGATTATGGAGATGGAACACGGGTGAATTGGTGATGGGAAGCCCACGGGGATTACAACTGAGATCGAAAAAGGCACAAAATGATGTAAAAATAAATTATTATATATATATATATATTTTTTTTTTAATGTGTTCCTTTGTAAAAAAAGGTATACAAGCATGCCTTGGTCACTTTCTTGGAGTCTCATATCTTGGGGGACTTTCTTACCTACAAAATTAAACCTTGTCTTAAGTCCACTTAATTATTAGACAAACTAGACTGAAAGAAAGGAAAACTGTTTTGTCAAAGAAACAGCACCTCAGACAACAGAAGGTCCCTTTCAAATGAAAATTCACAGACTGCCTTGCACGTAACATCCTTGCATTCCCCGGGATTCTGCAGGCAGGAAAACCAACACACATACAATCAGAGTTTCTTTTGTCTCACCACTCAAGCGAGAATCATGACCGAGAAATATCATAACTTTATATTCCTCCACCACTTAAAAAAAAAAACCACGCTCAGAATGAGTTATGGATTTAAAACTACCCCAGCTTCTTAAGGACTTGGGCTCAAACAGACCCAAGAGAAAAAGAATAATTATAGGGGTCCCTCCCTGGTGGCACAAGAGGTCAAGGCACAGTACTATGAAACTATCTGCAGCCACTGCATTACGAGTTCAATCCCCAGCCAGGGAGCTAAACCACATGGCACAGCAGACCTCTGCTGTCTCAACCACTGCTCCCCTCAACAGTGTATTTCTGTTAATCTGCCTGTTCTATTCCCCACTCTGGTGAATCCTTTCACCGCCCACACCTCTGGCCTGTACCCCAGTTCTTGTATGTATAAAAAAATAAATCTTTTTTATATAAAAAAAGAATAATTATAGGATCATTTCTCAGAGTTAATTTTTAACAAATTAACTGATCCAAGATCTGTTTCTCTCTTTCTTTCTCTCTTTTTCTCTCTCTCTCTCTCTCTCTCAAACGCACACACAGTCACTGTGAAAATACAACCAAAAACATTATGATGGGTTTCAAAAATTTTTTCTAAATTTAAAATTACTTTCAGGGAAAATATATATTTTTATAAACGGAATATGTTATTAAAATGTTGAAGGAGACCCTTACAGTCCCTTCTCCTTGGTCAGGTAGAAAAAAAGACAAAGGATTGGCTCTCGTTCCTTCTCTAAGAGAATAAGTGTGATTTACTAGAGACCCCAAAGCGCCCAGGGCAGGCAGATTGCAGGGGGGTAACCCCGGGGGTCCGTGGAGTCTGGGATTTGGCAGGGGATAAAGAGGAATAGCTCACAGTTGGTGAAGAGAACCCGGACATGAAAGGCAGAGCCAAACTGTTCTTGTTAAAACAGGAAATAATTTCAACAACGAAGGCCTGAGATTTTGAACCCACCAGCTGGTACATCACACAGGTGATACATGTTAAGGAAAAGAAAGCACAGGGGGCAAAAACCTTCCTACTAATCAAGTCAGCACCTATTTTAAACTTGCTGGCCTGGGACTGCAGGGCCTGTGTCTTTTGACATCATTCGATGTGTAGAGAACGTGTCTACAAAATCATTTCCAAGTGAATGAACTAAGTAAATCTTGAAAAAAATCTCTCCAAGTATTACCATTTGAAAGTCCATCTTTATTTGTTTCAAGGCTCATTCTTCCATCTGAAGTAAAGAAGACACACACTTGATTAGAAACAACTGCACAGAGAGGTTTGTCAGTTTAAGAAAAAAATCTGTTGTCACAAGCCATCATTTCTACCTTCATTCAGTTCTTCATAATCATTGATTATCTTCAGCAGGCTCTTGTTGACATGGCTACAGATTCTTTTCAGGGCATCCAAGTTTTTTTTCCCTAAGATGACCCTTTTTTCCATCTCTATGAAAACATCAAACAAATTCTAAAGAGAGGAAAAATAAAGTTGTAACATTGGGTTGAGTTATATGGCTTTCTAGATCTGATTTTTTTTTAACTTATTTTAGTTGGATTTTTTTCTCTAAACTAAGGGCCCATGCTAGCTTCCCATGTCAATCCTCGAGACATTATCCTGGTTTTCTGAAGCCAACAGGCTAGTAGGGAAGCAATTTGGTGTTTTCTGGCCCAGAAAGACAGAATTGAAAAGTCAGACAAGAAGCCTATCAGACATCAACTGGTCCCCAGGCCCTAGTTCTGAGCTCAAACTGTTGCAGACACCTTTCTGTAAAGACTGTGAAACAGCCCATCATGGAAGGTTGAGTAGCCATGGTGGTTACCATGGGGACAGCCCTGGGACTGCCCCACACTCAGCATTGCCTCTGGCAACCGGTCCACTTGAAGACCTGTGTCCCCCTCACACACACAGACACACACACACACACGCACACACAGAATTCCCCCAGTCCTGTATTGTTTCAGAGACTGCAGAAGTGGGGAAAACGTCTCAGAACCATCTCTGTCTTTCCTGGCTCTGCAGGATCCTAGTTAGGGCTCTGCCCCAACAACCAGCCTTCTCCCCCGGCTCCTGATAACATCATGAGCAGCATGTTACAGTTCAGAGAGGACTCAACTTTCTTCTATCCCGGTTAAAAGTGAGAATTCAAGTTGCCATTACTGGACAAGCTCTCCAATCTCAGAAATCACACTGGTGGACTCAGGGCTCCATCTTGGGGAAACACCAGCTCTTACCATGTCATCATCCAGTTTACATTTGGCGATCTCCCTGAGCAAGAAAAACTTAAATTCCTTCACATCTGAATCACGGAGTTCTTCTGAAATCTGAAAAAGCATGACCCTGGGGTGGGAAACAGAGACACTTCAGAAAAGCTTTCTTAAATAATTTCCCATTTGACATGTGAACTCACAGCAGACGCCAATGGCCTCCCTTTAAGACAAAGCCAGCAATCGTGTGATTCATGAAATGAGTACTTAGAAAGGGGATTCAGACAAAGAGAGAACAGAGGCAGAGAATCCAGTGTGTGATGCATCTGCCAGACAAAAAGCATCAAGGACTGGCTCGACTCCTGCTAAAGTGGGGACAGGAGCATGAAGAGCCCCCCTCAGAGTGTCCCCAAAGGAACTAATCCTGCTCACACCTTGATTTCAGGTTTCTGGCTTCCAGAAGTTCAAACGAATAGACTTCTCTATGTGTGAAGCCACCCAGTTGTGCACTTCGTCACGGCAGCCTGAGGAAGCGAATCCATCCAGACTACCCTTTGTCATTTAAAGTCAAATGGTCAAACCACAAGTATAGAAACATATGAAAGGGAACATGCCCGTGTCTCAAGTGCCTAGACTACGTGGCCCAGGTTATTAAAGCCAACCCAGTCATAGGATCATGGCCTTCAGCCTTAGCTGTGAGGTCTCAATGTCCTCCAGGCTAAGTCACTGGCATACAGAAGAAAAGCAGTGGACCACAGATAAGGCTTTAGTGGAAGTTTCCTGAAAGGAAAGCTAAAAATAACTTTAGGCAGAGTGTGACACCTGGGGAAATTGAAGGAGAAGTTGACAGTTTTCATTTTTAAAGAAAACATAATTGAATATGGCTTGTTACCACTTGCAGGTTACCTGCTCCCCCACCAGGAGGAGGAGGCTGAGCTGCAAGGCCTTGGGCAAGACAGATGTTCTTCCAGCAGTGATCAGGCTCACAGAGGCTAGGCAATGCTCGGGGGCCCCAGCCTGGCCACTCAGAATGACTGGCAGCATACACCTCATTAAAGAACTTCCAAAGCTAGTCTTTAAGCGTGGAATAAGAACTCCCATCATCATACACAAGCAGGTGGAGGGAGATTTCTGGATGGGAAGCTTTCAATAGACAAAGGAGACACACGTGATGTGGCCACAGGCAAAGTAGAGATAACACGATGATAAGACACATCACAGAAAGAGCTAGAAAATTTAGAAAATGTCTATTCTAATACCTTCAATTTATCTATAATGACTCACTTTGAAAAACATCTTTTATAAATTTATGGTGCTTGCATTATTTCTGAATTATACACAGGGTCTGGGAATTTCTTAATCTGCCATCGGTGGGCTTCCCAGATCATACAGACAACCTGCAATCAGCTCCACCTTCTAAGATGTGTCCGTTCCCCACAGCACCCATCCTGTAGAGGTTCCTCCCACCTGTAGGCAGAGATCTGGGCCTTTCCCGGCATCTCAAGCTCCTGTTTCATCTCCTCCTTGTTGGTGCCCAGGTGTTTCTCCAGCAGGTCAAACCTTTCAATTCGAAAAAGCAGCTCCTTCACGAAAGATAGGTTGCTTTCCTCCAACAATCTTTTTTCCTGGAGTCTCTGGAATAACATCAAGGCATCCTGGATGGGCTCCTGCTTTTTATGTGGGATGTAATCCAGGCTCAGGAACTTGAGGGAAGCCACCTCGCGACTGGCGAGGTCTTCCCCAATATTATAAAGACAACTGTGGAAATCCATGCTTGTCAGCGTTAGAAGGATGTTGTTGTAACCTGGGTAAAAATACAATGCTATGTTCAGATGAGAAAGAAAAGTATCATTTACTGGTTTGTTCCTTCATCACATGCCTCTATTACACACCTGACATTTTGCTTGACAGGGAATTAAAAAGAAAGAAAGAAAGCAGGAGACATGCCTGCTCTCAAGGAGCTTACTATTTAGAAAGGTGATTATACAAACCAGCCAATGGTCAGAGAGCTGTGACCAGGCCACAGTGAGCAATATGGAGGAAAGAACCCTAAATCAACCTGGGAAGACCTCCTGGAGGGAAGGAGGCATCTTTGGGGAGGAGGTAGGGAAGGACAGCTCTTGCCAGAAACAATTTATGCAACAAATGGAGGTGAGAATGTTCAAGTCAATTCAGGGAGGCACTCAGAGTTCAGTAAAGTAACCACAAAGGGCCTGGGGAGGGGAGTTGGGGGACAAACAGACAACCTGCTACTGGAACCCATGAGGAAGGACCTCACTGTGACACAGGGTCTCAGGGCTTTGTTCTGGAGGCTGGTGGTGGGAACAAAGGATAGTAAGCAAGGGAATGGGGTCTGATCTGGGCTTACCTGTTTAAAGTGTGGAGGGCATATCAGAGGGGCTGGAGATGGGAGACGGGTTAGGAAGTGACAGGGCAGAATGATGAGGCATGACTGACATGACAGCAGAGAGAGGCCCAACACCCACAGCTGGGCAATAACCCAAGACTAACCAATGGAAACAGGTCAATACAAACAGTCTCAGACTCCATGGTATTTTCACACACTTAGACACTTTCGTAGATATAAAAGGAGAGGACCATGATGAGAAACCCCAGGTAACCTTTCCGCAAGCATCCCAGAACCTGGAGATTTGCCTCCCTTGAGGTCTTTGAGTCACTTGACTGATTTCTTTCCATCCTTCCAGTTCTGACCAGTCTGTGTCCCAGTGAAAGGAGCCCTGGGAGCAGCTTTTGTATAAGATTCTTCATAGGAAGTGAGATCGGCCCAGGGGACCATGGTGTCCCCACAGAGGCCAAGAAGCTCCTGACTCATGGGGGGTGGGGGTGGGCAGTGCCCCGCTCGGATGTGCAGATATGGGGGCAGAGGGGATCTGACAGAACTTAGATGAGAATCACCTGGAGCTCTGGCCCAGGGGCCTGAGAAGCTCTCATTCTCGGAGTTAGATGACAGCACCTCTGTAAATGGGAGTTAGACACACAGCAACTCCAGTGCTGTGACTATATAACACCCGTAATGCATTTAGAACAATGGCATGAGGGTCAGCCTGAAAGAAAGGGGAGAAAACCCAACCCAAGTCCCTGACACTAGATCTTCAACATTTCACACCATCCAAATTTTCTCATCTCCTCTTCGGAAATGTGAAAATGCCACTGGAAGCAGTGGTTTTCAAACTCGGCAAGGCTGAAAAAACTCTTCATTGCAGCCTTACCAGAAAGGGTGGTCCTGGAGAGCTGCTGTTGAACTAGAAAACCTCTAAATTCCTCTAAGTTATTCTTCATCCCACATCATAAATCACTCAATTTGTTTGGGCCTGCCTCCTCCCTAAAACAAGGGAGAGAGGTACAGTCATCTTTCAGCTCCCCTGTGTTTGCTCATACTGGTGGGTGAATAACCCTGTCATTCAGAGGTAGTGATCAGGTGAACCAGGACAAAGGTGTTTCTCACCTTTAATCAGACATTACATTAGAAATATGTCTAATTTTCCCATCAAAGTAAGTTTTTTAATGGTTATTCAAAAGTGGCCCCAAAGTCTTCAAAATTTAATCCTTCCTTTTAAAAACTCCTTTCCTCGGGCCCTCCCTGGTGATGCAGCAGAGTAAAGGGCAACACTATGAAGTTATCCACAGCCACTGCAGCACAAGTTGGATCCCCGGCCAGGGGGGTGACCCACAAGGCGTGGCAGACCTCTCCCATCTCACCTGCTGCCCCCCTCAGCAGTGTATTTCAGTCAATCAGCAGTGTATTTCAGCCACTCTGCCTCTGGTGAATCCTCTCAGTACCCCCCACCTCTGGTCTGTACCTCAGTTCTTGTATGCATAAATAAATAAATCTTTAAAAACACCTTTCCTCCTAAACTAGATCACTACTTCACACCATACACAAAAATCAACTCGAAGTGGATTAAAGACCTAGACATAAGAATGGAAACTATAAAATACCTGGAAGCAAAGATGGGTCAAACACTACATGACATATACTTCAGCAACATCTTTGAAGATACAGCACCCAATGCAATGATAGTGAAGGCAGGGATAAGTAGATGGGACTACATAAAGTTAAAGAGCTCCTGTATGGCAAAAGAGACATTACAAAAGACAAACAGACATCCACTGATTAGGAAAAAATTTTCTCACACAAAATGAGTGAGAAAGGATTGATCACAAAGATATACAAAGAACTGATGAAACTCAAAAAAAAAATAAACAACCCCATCAAAAAATGGGCAGCAGGGCTAAAAAAAAAAACACTTTTCCAAAGAGGAAATGCAGATGACCAACAAGCATATGAAAAAAATGTTCAACATCACTTGTAATAAGGGAGATGCAAATTAAAACCACAATGAGATACCAACTCACACCAGTGAGAATAGCACATCTTAAAACAACTAGCAACAACAAATGTTGGTGAGGATATGGAAAAAAAGGAACTCTCCTGCATTGCTGGTGGGAATGCAAACTAGTACAACCACTACAGAAAACTGTTTGGAGTTTCTTCAAAATGCTAAACATGGAGCTTCCTATGACCCAGCAATCCTACTCCTAGGTATTATCCAAAAGACACAAAAACACTGATTCAAAAAGATACCTGCACCCCCATGTTTACTGCTGCTTTATTTACAATTAGAAAGACAAGGAAACAGCCCAAATGCCCAAAAGTGGATGACTAGATTAAAAAGGTGTGGTACATATACACAACGGAATATTACTCAACAACCAAAAAAAATAAACACATGCCATTTGCAGCAACATGGAAGGAGCTGGAAAAGATCATGTTTAGTGAGATAAGTCAGAAAGAAAAGGAAAAATACCAGATGGTTTCACTCATAGCAGGGGTATAACGAAGCAGGTGAGAAAGCAATAATAATAATGAACAGCTATATACCAGAGACATTTTATGGAAGTGGAGTAGGAAATGGGATCAAAAACAGTGGTGGGGAAGGAAATGCACTGGGCGATGGTGATGGCACAGGGTGATTTGGTGATGGGAAGCCCACAGGGATTACAACTGAGATAAAAAAAATATGCACACAGTGATGTAAAAATAAACTATTATATTATTTAAAAAAAACACCTT